GATGGATGGATGGATGGATGGATGGATGGATGGATGGATGGATGGATGGATAAGTTAAATAATTTAGCATTTAAGTACTTATGTAGTTTAATCAAACAATTTTTTGTCATTTGATATTAGGGTAATTATTTACAGAGCACACATATTTAACATTTTGTAATAGTTGCAATAATTGAACTTTTTTTCTTTGAGTTCTCAGTTCCTTTGGAGAGGCAGCTGCAGTCGTCCTGCCCCTCAGTGTAAACTGCCCCTCAGTGTAAACTGCCCCTCAGTGTAAACTGCCCCTCAGTGAAACAGCCTCTCAGTGTAAAGAGCCCCTCAGTATAAACAGCCCCTCAGTGTAAACTGCCCCTCAGTGCAAACTGCCCCTCAGTGCAAACTGCCTCTCAGTGTAAACTGCCCCTCAGTGTAAATAGCCCCTCAGTGTAAATAGCCCCTCAGTGTTAACAGCACCTCAGTGTAAACAGCCCCTCAGTGTTAACAGCCCCTCAGTGTAAAATTACCTTCAGTGTAAACAGCCCCTCAGTATAAACAGCTCCTCGGTGTAAACAGCCTCTCAGTGTAAACAGACCCTTGGTGTAAACTGCCCCTCGGTGTAAACATTTCAGTGTAAACAGCTCCTCAGTTTAAACAGCCCCTGTGTAAACAGACCCTCAGTGTAAATAGCCCCTCAGTGTAAACTGCCCCTCAGTGTAAATAGCCCCTCAGTGTTAACAGCACCTCAGTGTAAACAGCCTCTCAGTGTAAACAGCCCCTCAGTGTTAACAGCCCCTCAGTGTTAACAGCCCCTCAGTGTAAAATTACCCTCAGTGTAAACAGCCCCTCAGTATAAACAGCCCCTCGGTGTAAACAGACCCTCGGTGTAAACTGCCCCTCGGTGTAAACATTTCAGTGTAAACTACCCCTCAGTTTAAACAGCCCCTGTGTAAACAGACCCTCAGTGTAAATAGCCCCTCAGTAAAAACTACCCCTCAGTATAAACAGCCCCTCAGTGTAAACTACCCCTCAGTGTAAACAGCCCCTCAGTGTAAACAGCCCCTCAGTGTAAACAGCCCCTCAGTATAAACAGCCCCTCAGTGTAAACTACCCCTCAGTGTAAACAGACGCTCGGTGTAAACTACCCCTCAGTGTAAACAGACCCTCAGTGTAAACAGACCCTCAGTATAAACAGCCCCTCAGTGTAAACTACCCCTCAGTGTAAACTACCCCTCAGTGTAAACAGCCCCTCAGTGTAAACAGACCCTCAGTGTAAACTACCCCTCAGTGTAAACAGACCCTCAGTGTAAACAGACCCTCAGTGTAAACTACCCCTCAGTGTAAACAGACCCTCAGTGTAAACAGACCCTCAGTGTAAACAGACACTCAGTGTAAACAGCCCAGCTGCAACCAGAAGTCACAGCTGCATGAGGTCACATCATGTTTCATGTCAGCAGAGGGACAAGTTTAACTCATAATTAAATTTTTGATGTTTTCCAAAAATTTAGTATTTTGAGATTGTAAATATTTATTTTCTTAGATTACAATGAAGTGTTAATTTGATACGTTTTATCAGTTAATTGGTTAATTTTCAGTTCATAAGTTGGTACCTTCATTAAATTTTATGTTAACCTGTTTTATTGGCCTAAACTGCATTTTATTTTTGTAAATAAATCAACACTTTTGGACTAATCTGCTGTGTCTCTGTGAACCCTCACACATGCATATGAAGATGTAATTTCTCTTTACATTTTGCTGATGTTTGTTGTCTGACTCAAGGATTTTTTATTTAAAAAATTATTCATTTAAAAACAAAACAAATGCTATACATACAACAAATAATAATAAAAAACACTAACACATATTAACACTATATACATTAAAAATAAGAGCTTCCATGATTGAATACTTTTTAATCTCTTAAATTGTCTTTATTTACACAGCAATAACACAATAATTTATTTATATTTGTTTACATCTGCATCCATTTCACACGAAGCTTTACCTTAAAGAGGATTTATGGAAACGAGATCATAATAACGACATGTAGGGGTTTTGGGTATATTCTAAAATGGATAATTTGTGAATTATTTAAATTGGCAAATTATCTGACCTCGAGGCACCACGCTCTTAATTTGGTCAAAAATTAACCCAGGAAAGAGACGAAAAACTAACTTTATTGTAATCAGTCTCACATTAAATGTACCCAAAATGRTTTGATGAGTTCTTGTCTTATCAGAACCAATAATACTTTATCAAGACACAAATGTGAGATTAGTTTATGTTGGCACGTTCTCCACGGGCCATTTATTTACAGATTAAACGTATTTATGTACAACTATGGTGAGTAAGAAGTGATGACATGTTGAACCAGGTAAAACTGACACAGTTTGCAATCACAAGTGAATAAACAAACAAACAAAGAAATAAAATAAACACTGAGAGGTGAGTTTGAGGHTTGGAGTGAGGTGAGGTGAGTTTTGCTTTTAGCTGAGGATTTAACTAAAGGGATCCTAGTTAAATTAGGGAGAAAAATAGTTTAGTTTATCAAATCTCATACAAAGATAAGAATCAAATTACATCTGAGCACCTGTTTGTCACCAGGACAAATGTTCACTTTTACCCTTTTGTTCTGCCGTGTGGGTACCAGGAGGGAAGTCAGCGATTGAAGGTCATCTCTGGGGGTCGTCTCCCAGGTAGACTCTTCATGCAAGCTGGATGTCAGGTGGTCTGCCTGTAAAACTCGGCTGGTCCCGTGGTCAGAGAAGGGGGTCACTCCCTGGTGACTCGTGGTCCGTTCTTTAGGTGGCTGCAAGACTTCTTAGTTTGATTTCAACTTTGTAGAGAAAACGAACTAAAACGACGCATGAATTACAATTAGCTTATTTAACTTCTATAAAATCAAACTCAGACGTTGAGTCGATATTAAACGTTGGCTGTTCGTTCAACCAGCGGGGGATGCAGAGCCTGTAACCTGGTCAGCCTTGGGAGGGGCTGGCAGGGCCGGTCTCCGCTGAAACTTCTAAAAAACTGTTTCTGACTTCTGTTGTTGAAAAACTCTCAAAAAACTCTGTCGGTCTCGGGAGCTGCACTAACTTTTAAAACCTCTGTTTTGGGCGGAGTCAAGGTTTAGTTGGCCAATAAAAATGTTACACCTTATACAGGAAAAGATCTCAGCGAGTCTGTTGGAGGTAAAGGTTTACTTTGAAAACAAACAAGGATTATCTCGCATCTAATTAAAGGGAGAGACATCTGCTTGCCTCAATAAGAGTGTCACACTTTTAATTAAAAACTCAAGTCCTAAGTTTATAAGGATTAAATCATGGAATAAAACACACATC